TGTATAAAGAAAAGATTGGGGTCATGGGCGCCAATATGCTGATTTTACAGCGATGTTATTTCATCATAATTTTTTGTTTAATTTAATATGGTACTACTGAATAGGTGCATTATTTTAAAATTACGTCAAAAGCAATTTGTTGAGGTGAAAATGATTTCTCCTAACATAGTTTCTCACTGGCCCCTTGTCTTAAACATGAAACCGGAATGTCTAAAAGTGGTAGTGACGAGGTAGTGTGATACAGTGTTGTGGTTCAACTTTGTGTCAGGCTCTTCAATCTTCAACCATAGTAAGCTCTGAGGAGGAAACAAAGTTCCGAAACGTTGGCAAACTAGGAATTCAATTAAGTGACCAACATCCTCTGAGGAATTAAATAGTGTGATCGTGAATTCGCGAACTAAACTGACATAACAAAGACAAGAATTTAACCTGGAATATAATTTTTATTGCCTAAATAAGTAATACGAGTGCTATGTGACCTCTAGACCTTTTCCTGAATACACTCTCCATTCTCAAAAATCAGACATTCAGAATAAAGAATGTGTGAAGCAGAAGTAATTGCTATCATGTGTTGTTCTGTTTTATAGTTCCCATGGATCATTCAATCGATATCTGACAAACATACCTTACAGGCCATTACGTTAACGCGCTTCCAATTCCCCACTGAGAAAGCCAGAACCACGTGCGCATGAGGTATAAATGATATGGACACTACGCATAAAATTATGCTAAACATGTTTCAATACAGACTTTTATTAAACTTAGTAGTAATTAATTTACATTTATTGTTTACACTTTGTTATATATTAGTATTCTGAATTTTGGAAATAACATTTCCGACATTTGATGGAGCTGCAACCACCAGTTTGTTTGTTGGCCACTGACCGGCAGGAACAGAAGGAAGACGGTTACTGACGGTTTCCGTCGTGAGGTAATATGGCGCAGTTGGTTCAACGCCTTGTTTTACAAAAAGCAATATGAATTAATGCTTCCACAAAGATGACTGAAATGTAAATGTTAAATTGTATTTCTTCGCTTCGCAACTTCTTATGGAAAGCAACTTTGCGACGGAATGGGGGAACAACTAAAAGAGTATCATGAAAGTTAGCCTTCAGACCTATCGGAACATATTAATTTACTAAGGAAGTCATTTGTGGGCTGATGATAATGTGAAGAACATTACCTTTATATTTTGAACAACGCTGAACACTACATAGGAAGAGAACTGTTGCAACATTGGTATGAAAATATAAAACCTGTAGAAGGCATAGAAAATACAAGCATAGAAAATACATTTCATTTCTTTACGAAACAGTCAATTCGCGATCATGTCTGTAAAGTGAAACAAAAGAAATATCAATTTAATAAAATAAAACACATACTCTTATTCGTGTAATTTGAAACGTTCTTCATTAGGCCTTTAATATCAGCAGATGTTTTTAAAAACATCCTCACATAGAGAATGCCATTTTGAAAAGTTTTTTTCAATCTTGATTTATACAACCATTCTCACGCAAAGAAAGCCCTTTTCAAAATCTCCCTTATTTATATTTGATACTCATAAGTTCTGACCCAGAACACAAAGAAGTTCTGACATTCGTTCGTGTCATATTTGAGAAGAAATATAAGTTATTATTCGGCTAAATTTGTATCAAATTTCTCTTGAATATATTTGGTACTATATCTCACACGCTAAGCAAGCCCTTTTGAAAATCTTTCTTATTTATATTTGAAAATATTTTAAGCTTTAAACAATTTAATTTTGACGAATGCCCGACTCCAAATTTCTTACATGGTTGAATTACACTTCGATCGCCGCCCCATCCCAGACGAGCTGGGTATTCTGCAAATTTATTCCATCAAAAATAAAATGGTTGGGCTATTAAATGAATCAGCCTTTCTTTCAATCAATATATTTTCATTTTTATTAAATTCAGTATTAACTTAATCAAGCTTTGTCATTTTAATTACAAATTTTGCTTTTGTGTTATTTCTTTGGCATGCCATTCGATTGAAATATTAATTTCTTTCATTACTAAGGCCTTTGTAAATGCAGGCGCGGATCCACAGGGAGGCAAATGAGGCACCCCACCCCACAAAATTGTTTCAGTAACTATTAATTTTAACTTGTCACGAGACTTTCAAGCCAAATATTTTGGGAATTTAAAACGAATAAAATCATATTGCAGCCTGAGCTGAGGGTAGCCCCAGACATTTTACAAAATCTGTAATGTGACATATTCAACGAAAACATTTTGAATTTTCCTTCCCAAAATTAGTCTCTGGACCGCCCATGTTAAATGTCTATCTGAGTATCTCTTTGCAAAGACTTGTTAAGCTTATTCGTTCGATATTTCCCGCGGCGCTCACAATTCGCGAAGAAGTCAACTGCAATACTGCTGAAGATATATTTTCCAACGCAGAATCTTCAAATCCACCTGGAGTATTCTGTTCCTGTACCTTGATTTTAAGATAGTATTGCTATAGATTGGTTATGTTCGCACCTTAAACAACGATCTCACGGAGTAGAAATACCTTACTGGAATAAAGGAACATAATGTACACACCTTTCCAATTCTTTGCTAATTGCATGTGGAGCCTCGTAGGGATCGATTTTAGGTCCTATTTTCTTCCTACTATACGTAAACGTTATGCCCTCGACGATTAGAAACGGAAGAACAGTTCTCTTTGCGGAGGATACGATATTCTTTGCAATAAAGAAACCGTAAATAGTACTATATCAGATATTTCAAATTGGTTCCCTTATAACAAATTAATAGTAAATGAAAAGAAAACAGTTTCAATGCAGTTTTCCATTTCAAATAAACAGCTCTGCAATGGCATACCTCCATTAAAACAAATGGTATGCCATTACATGGTTAACATTTTTTAGGTCTTTCCGTGAAATATTAATTTTCTTTTTTGAAGAGGAAAGCAAATGTTTAAATGAAATGAAAGTGTTGAAAAAAGATTTATATTTATCGTTTGTGTATCAACAGTATTGTAAACCGCGTCCCATGACTAACCTAAGCAACAATGAGATATTTTTTGTTTATCTTTAAAATTAAAATTACAATAATTGGGACAAAACGCTCGTCTAAAATCGATAGCAATGAACAAATAGAAAAAGGGACGTACTTGTTAAGTTTGCGCAATCTGAATAAAATTTCTTTACTTTCATTATTAAAAAAATGCATTGCCAAAAGGCTTACTCAATATACTGCGATTTTTCTAAGTCTGCTCCTCAAGCGCTCTGAAGACCCTACTTCACGGTGTATTATTGTTTTTCCTGTCTTAATGCATCAATCCGCTAGATGTCGCATGATCACCACCGTATTGCAGCATAGAGGAGAGATATCTCTCCTCTCCTTGTATCTCTCCTCTATGTATTGCAGTGCTGGATACCAAAGACTTTGGAATATAGTACAAGACCTACCCTCCTGCCTTTCGGAGCGCTGCAAATTGAACACTGCGCGATTCGCCATGTTGATGGCAAGTGTGTGATGTGAATAGCCGAAGCCCATGTGCCTTTACGAGCGTTTATTTTATAATATAAAGTTTTTAGTGAAACATTATGGTCAGTTGCTGTGCAGCATTCGGTTGTACGAATCGAAATTCGTTAGTTTGTATGTTAAAATCAAGCTTTAGCACTTAGCAGAATATCACAATAGTTTTTACATAAAAAATTAATAAGACAGCATTGCACAAAGTCAATCACCTTCATAAACCAATAAATAAAATTCTATTTCTCAAAAAAAAGTCAGTTTTATTACAACCCTGTCAAATTTCCCTAAATCCTTTCAAAAGAAAAAGTTCACTATTACTATTAAAAATTATTGGTTAGAATGTTTGTAATAATTTATTTTCCATATTCAGGACTTCGTTTCTTCAATTTTGTCCTGAAGTGTTATATTAATATGTTAATTGAAACCTATTTTCCTTCTAAATCTTGTGTAAAAGTTGATGTGCTTTTAGAAAAATTTGTAAAAACAAAGATTGTCTTCCTGTCCATCATACTTCATTATGAAAGGTGGTTCATGTGCCAATAAACGTTTATAGAAACAAAACCCAAAGTAATTTAAGTTTATAAGAAGCAGTTTTGCAGTGGAGATTAGACATAAAATGTTCTGTATAAAACAAGAAAAAGTGTTTTCTGAACTATGTGAAGGAATGTCAATGATCAGAAGAATAAAAAAATACGTTTTATTACGATATTTTCTTATTGATGCATCTAACTGAATGTTTATTCTTACTTTTACTTCCGAAACGCTGTATTTGTATGCTCAGCTCAGGTGCTTTTGCCATCATCATGACGGACGGCGCAACGTTCAATTTTTGTTGCACGTTGGACCTCCTTGACATTGGAGTGTGGGGCCTTGCTGGATACGGTCGCGATCATATCTAGCGAACCGACGGAGAAAGACACGAGAAACAGTGAAATAATGCCACCATGAAGTAGGGCCTTGACGGGCAGAGTTAGAATAATCGCAGTAGGCCCTTCACTACATTCACAAATTTAACTATTATGTCGGAACGTTTTCTTGAACTCCGGATATCTACCCCCACTCCTTTCCCAACATTAGTGGCATTAAGAATGAATGATAGCAATGAGAGTTGTAGACAAAATCTGGTGACGAGGAATGTAGCTCCCGTGTATTAAAAATAATTTTGTATGAAAAAATGAACTACAAATTCGACGTAATTTTTTTTTTTTATCAAAATAACCAAACTCCCCAGCGCAGGGCAGAATCAAGCGAAGCGAAGGCTCAAGAAAATGTGCTAATACTAACAATTTGATGTGTGCATAAACTGCTTTCACACTGGTTTTTTGTGTCTTGACGCGCGAGGCCTTGTCTTTACGATGGAATATCTCATGGTAATCGCGTCTTTCTCAGTCGTGCCGCTAGATGTCGCATGATCGCCAGAACTGCTCGTTGCGGTCGCAATCATGCGACATCTACCGGCACGACTGAGAAAGACATGAAATACCGTGAGATATTCCAGATGTTCCAAGACAAGGCCTCCAGGCCTCGCGCGCCAGAAAATAAAAACCGAAGTATAAGAGAAGCATTGAGAAATTGAGCTTTTAATGCGCGTAATACTGACAACAGCTTTGCGTGGAATATCAAACAGGTTAAACAAAGGATTCTTATAATTATTTAAAAAATAATCAAAATAATGTTTTCCTATAATTTTACCTTTAAGTTGATAATATTAACACCAATGTATTTTCTCCATTACATACTTCCAAACACGCTCTTGGCAGTTCGTCACAGATCTGCCATCTATCGAGCAATGTCGTACCACATAATATATAACTGTTAACAGATTGCGCTCTCCGCGCAGGGCAGGATCAAGTGGCACGCACAGAGAGTATATTACGCACGTGGGGCAGAAGCAACTTGCTTCTAGCTAGCAGAAACATCGCCGGAGACCAATTAGGCAGATGCGGACGACGCGTGGGGACCAATCGATTTCTCCTGAACGGTTCTGAATTGGTTCAAATCGCCGTGTGTGTACAACTACGAGTGCAATTGTGTGAAATTCGTAAGCTATTTTGTTTATAAATTGTTTTCAAACATCGCCCTATACACTCAGGCGACGTATTGAAAAATTGTTTTCCTCGTAGGGGATTCAGTTTGACATTGCGCCTGAATGTTAAAAATCATTTTGATGGTTCTATTTGTGTGTTCACAATTGTTTTTGAAGAGACGTTTTTGTTTATTGTGATATTGGAAAGAAAATTAAAGTTCATTAAGTAATGTAATTAGCGCTGGTTGATGTGGCATATGAATGTTATACAGGTTATGTATCGCTAATTAGCATGTGAATTAGTAAAGGATACGAACGAATGAAATGGAGAATATAAATTTTATTAAGTTTTGAATTAAAATTTCAGTAACATATTTTGATTTTAATTGTAACTATGCAAGTAAATAAATGTGTTGTAAATTAATTTATAAATTTAAGATAACGTTCTCCTAAATTTACAAAATACTGAATGACAGAGAAAGTTACTACGAACATTAGTAGAAAGAAAATTAAAAGCAATAATGTGGAGGCAATGCAAAATAGTAATAAGTGTAAATCAATAAAGTAAATTGTGATGGCAAGAAACAGAATTTGAAAAGCCCCACAAATGTACTTCTGCAACAAACTTATTTTATTGCAAAAAATACTTTTATCTCGGTCTATGCACTGAGAGAAAATTCTTGTGTGTCCAAACAAATATTATTGTGTTTTAAAGATTGGAATTCTAGTGAAATTGAGTTACTCACATGCCTCTGTCATGGGCTTCGTCTGATACATTGTCTAGTGTTGACCACCTGTAGCTATCGTGCCCAATGAAGAGTTGTAATTTTTTTTTTTGTCTTTAAGGAAATAAAATATCACCTTAAAGATTTTAATTTTGTTGGGTTGTATTTGAGATATCCCACATTTTTCACTATTTCTCTCATTAATATTCACATATTTTATGGATATGAACTATAAAAACAGAAAACTGTTTGCTAGTTCTTATCACTGTAAAGGTTTTTTGGTGCCCATTGAAGAAGGTTTTTGCAGTGACACAAGGGTATTTTTCATTTCATCACTGAAGTGAATTGTTTAAGCAGAAAGTTTGACACATTTAAAAAGTTGATAACAGATGTCAGAGCCTACTGATAGGTAGGATACTTTTTATTGTCAATTCATTGGCTATGCCAAGTACACTCTGTTTCAGAGCCATAAA